GGCTATGTCAGGATCTGTACAGTCACATATCTCTGGCTATGTCAGCATCTGTACAGTCACATATCTCTGGCTATGTCAGCATCGGTACAGTCACATATCTCTGGCTATGTCAGGATCTGTACAGTCACATATCTCTGGCTATGTCAGCATCTGTACAGTCACATATCTCTGGCTATGTCAGCATCTGTACAGTCACATATCTCTGGCTATGTCAGCATCTGTACAGTCACATATCTCTGGCTATGTCAGCATCTGTACAGTCACATATCTCTGGCTATGTCAGGATCTGTACAGTCACATATCTCTGGCTATGTCATCATCTGTACAGTCACATATCTCTGGCTATGTCAGCATCGGTACAGTCACATATCTCTGGCTATGTCAGCATCGGTACAGTCACATATCTCTGGCTATGTCAGCATCTGTACAGTCACATATCTCTGGCTATGTCAGCATCTGTACAGTCACATATCTCTGGCTATGTCAGGATCTGTACAGTCACATATCTCTGGCTATGTCAGGATCTGTACAGTCACATATCTCTGGCTATGTCAGGATCTGTACAGTCACATATCTCTGGCTATGTCATCATCTGTACAGTCACATATCTCTGGCTATGTCAGCATCGGTACAGTCACATATCTCTGGCTATGTCAGCATCTGTACAGTCACATATCTCTGGCTATGTCAGCATCTGTACAGTCACATATCTCTGGCTATGTCAGGATCTGTACAGTCACATATCTCTGGCTATGTCAGCATCTGTACAGTCACATATCTCTGGCTATGTCAGCATCTGTACAGTCACATATCTCTGGCTATGTCAGCATCTGTACAGTCATATATCCCCAGCTTTATGGCAATGTTTCTATTTTTAAAAAAAAAACTCTTTGGCTTTGCTTGTATTTGTACAAGTCAATGGTCCCTGATTAATGTGAGTATTTAGACTGTATGAGATGGACAGCTTTATGTATGTAAATTACATCAATATTTGGTATCATGGACAAACTGTCAACAACAACAACAAAACCAGCTTGTACAACTGGCAAGTAATATCAACACAACTGCAAATATAAATGATTTGTACGAATATGAACATATATATGAGAATAACATGTTTGCATGAACTTACACCTGGCCCTTTGCTTAGAAATCTCTACTTTAAAGTACCACAAACCTGAATGTTTTGTAGTCAGACAGGGGTTCTAGGATTAAAGATTTGTATAGCAGGACAGTTTGTCTAGTAGGACATGATACAGTAGAAAAGTTTGTCTAGTAGGACATGATACAGTAGAAAATGTTTGTCTAGTAGGACATGATACAGTAGAAAAGTTTGTCTAGTAGAACATGATACAGTAGAAATGTTTGTCTAGTAGAACATGATACAGTAGAATAGTTTGTCTAGTAGGACATGATACAGTAGAAATGTTTGTCTAGTAGGACATGATACAGTAGAAATGTTTGTCTAGTAGGACATGATACAGTAGAAAAGTTTGTCTAGTAGGACATGATACAGTAGAAATGTTTGTCTAGTAGGACATGATACAGTAGAAATGTTTGTCTAGTAGAACATGATACAGTAGAAATGTTTGTCTAGTAGAACATGATACAGTAGAAATGTTTGTCTAGTAGGACATGATACAGTAGAAAAGTTTGTCTAGTAGAACATGATACAGTAGACAAGTTTGTCTAGTAGGACATGATACAGTAGACAGGTTTGTCTAGTAGGACATGATACAGTAGACAAGTTTGTCTAGTAGGACATGATACAGTAGACAAGTTTGTCTGGTAGAACATGATACAGTAGAAATGTTTGTCTAGTAGGACATGATACAGTAGAAACGTTTGTCTAGTAGGACATGATACAGTAGACAAGTTTGTCTAGTAGGACATGATACAGTAGACACGTTTGTCTAGTAGGACATGACACAGTAGACAAGTTTGTTTAGTAGGACATGATACAGTAGAATAGTTTGTCTAGTAAGACATGATACAGTAGACAAGTTTGTCTGGTAAGACATGACACAGTAGACAAGTTTGTTTAGTAGGACATGATACAGTAGAAAAGTCTGTTTAGTAGGACATGATACAGTAGAAAAGTCTGTTTAGTAGGATATGATACAGTAGAAAAATTTGTCTAGTAGGACATTACACACTTGACAAGTTTGTTTAGTAGGACATGATACAGTAGAAAAGTTTGTCTAGTAGGACATGATACAGTAAAAAAGTTTGTCTAGTAGGACATAATTCAGTAGAAAAGTTTGTCTAGTAGGACATGATACAGTAGAAATGTTTGTCTAGTAGAACATGATACAGTAGACAAGTTTGTCTAGTAGGACATGATACAGTAGAATAGTTTGTCTAGTAGAACATGATACAGTAGAATAGTTTGTCTAGTAGAACATGATACAGTAGACAAGTTTGTCTAGTAGGACATGATACAGTAGAATAGTTTGTCTAGTAGGACATGATACAGTAGAAATGTTTGTCTAGTAGAACATGATACAGTAGAATAGTTTGTCTAGTAGGACATGATACAGTAGACAGGTTTGTCTAGTAGAACATGATACAGTAGAAAAGTTTGTCTAGTAGGACATGATACAGTAGACAAGTTTGTCTAGTAGGACATGATACAGTAGAAAAGTTTGTCTAGTAGGACATGATACAGTAGAAAAGTTTGTCTAGTAGGACATGATACAGTAGAAAAGTTTGTCTAGTAGAACATGATACAGTAGAAAAGGTTGTCTAGTAGGACATGATACAGTAGAAAAGTTTGTCTAGTAGAACATGATACAGTAGACAGGTTTGTCTAGTAGGACATGATACAGTAGACAGGTTTGTCTAGTAGGACATGATACAGTAGACAAGTTTGTCTAGTAGGACATGATACAGTAGAAAAGTTTGTCTAGTAGAACATGATACAGTAGAAAAGTTTGTCTAGTAGAACATGATACAGTAGAAATGTTTGTCTAGTAGGACATGATACAGTAGACAAGTTTGTCTAGTAGAACATGATACAGTAGAAAAGTTTGTCTAGTAGGACATGATACAGTAGAAATGTTTGTCTAGTAGGACATGATACAGTAGACAAGTTTGTCTAGTAGAACATGATACAGTAGAAAAGTTTGTCTAGTAGGACATGATACAGTAGACAAGTTTGTCTAGTAGGACATGATACAGTAGAAAAGTTTGTCTAGTAGAACATGATACAGTAGAAAAGTTTGTCTAGTAGAACATGATACAGTAGAAATGTTTGTCTAGTAGGACATGATACAGTAGACAAGTTTGTCTAGTAGAACATGATACAGTAGAAAAGTTTGTCTAGTAGGACATGATACAGTAGACAAGTTTGTCTAGTAGGACATGATACAGTAGAAATGTTTGTCTAGTAGAACATGATACAGTAGAAAAGTTTGTCTAGTAGGACATGATACAGTAGAAAAGTTTGTCTAGTAGAACATGATACAGTAGAAATGTTTGTCTAGTAGGACATGATACAGTACAAATGTTTGTCTAGTAGAACATGATACAGTAGAAAAGTTTGTCTAGTAGGACATGATACAGAAGGACAGCTTGTCTGTTTCACTAGTGGACTATGTTAGTACAGTTTGGAATATAGTAGGGAAGTGAGAGAATAATGCAAAACCATCTCAATGTTCCATCGAAGCTAGATCATTGTGTGGAGCTTATCCCTGTCCATAGGAATGACAGAACAAGTGGCAGCATGTTATAGACTATATTATATCACTACAGAGACCTATCAATCATGAACACGGCCTCACAATGTGAGGCAGACAATGGAAGCCACTTAGATACGACTGATAGGAAGATACGACTGAAAGGAAGATACGACTGAAAGGAAGATACGACTGAAAGGAAGATACGACTGAAAGGAAGATACGACTGAAAGGAAGATACGACTGATAGGAAGATACGACTGAAAGGAAGATACGACTGATAGGAAGATACGACTGAAAGGAAGATACGACTGATAGGAAGATACGACTGAAAGGAAGATACGACTGATAGGAAGATACGACTGAAAGGAAGATACGACTGAAAGGAAGATACGACTGATAGGAAGATACGACTGAAAGGAAGATACGACTGATAGGAAGATACGACTGATAGGAAGATACGACTGATAGGAAGATACGACTGATAGGAAGATACGACTGATAGGAAGATACGACTGATAGGAAGATGCGACTGATAGGAAGATGCGACTGATAGGAAGATGCGACTGAAAGGAAGATGCGACTGAAAGGAAGATGCGACTGATAGGAAGATGCGACTGATAGGAAGATGCGACTGATAGGAAGATACGACTGATAGGAAGATACGACTGATAGGAAGATACGACTGATAGGAAGATACGACTGATAGGAAGATACGACTGATAGGAAGATACGACTGAAAGGAAGATACGACTGATAGGAAGATACGACTGAAAGGAAGATACGACTGATAGGAAGATAATACTGATAGGAAGATACGACTGATAGGAAGATACGACTGATAGGAAGATACGACTGATAGGAAGATACGACTGATAGGAAGATACGACTGATAGGAAGATACGACTGATAGGAAGATACGACTGATAGGAAGATACGACTGATAGGAAGATACGACTGATAGGAAGATACGACTGATAGGAAGATACGACTGATAGGAAGAATGCTAAAAAAGAAAAGTCCCATAGAGGGCCTCCCAAAAAAAAATATTTAAGTAGTGTAAAAAGGTCATCTCACAAAGAGCTGTGACTACTGATATCTAAATAAAAGAGTCTAGGGCAACCATGATAATGAAAGACGATGGATAGCGAGGAAGAAAATGTTGGGTGGTCTGAAAAAGTGATGCAGAGGAACAATGTTGGTGGAAATGACTAAGAACAGAGAAGTCATGGTAGATGATAGTCTGCACAGCTTGGCATGGCACATGATCACAGAGACAAGACTCACAACTAAGGAAGCCAGAAGACAATAGTCTCAACTATACTATACAGATTCTTCTTTATAGGCCACAGGAGCAGCCTTGGAGGGGATGTCCACATAGCGAGGTGGAGGAGAACTTGGCTGTGGTGTCCACCTGTTGTGGGAGTATCTATCTCTGCGGTCACCAGAACTTCGCCGATGCCGACCGTCATCAACTGCACTCATGGGCTGTTTCCCATCTACTTCTGGAAACATGGAGTTTTTATTTGAGTGTGGTGGATCCGCTCGTTTCAGATCTACCTCCGGCAGTGGCCATTTGTAATTATATTCGTCCAGACTCCCAGTATCCTCCTCTGAGTAAGGTGGTGGCAGAGGTAGAGTCAGAGATTCTCGATACGCTTCTTTGTCAGTATCAGAGCGTCTTCTTTCACCATCTCTTTTGTTTTGTCGAACATATCTGTCGTTGTCATCTTCAGATGGACCCCTGTCTCCATCAAGGCTCTCTCTGTAGTCTGGTGACTTGTCTACATACCTGTCTTTTCCTCGATTGTATCGTTCCCTGTCACTATCGCTGTAATCCTCAAACTTACCCTGACCAATTCTCTCTCGACTTCTTCGTCTCCTCTCCAAATCATATTCAGAGTCACTATCATCACTACCATAACTCTTCCTCCTTCTATGTTCTCTGTAAGCACTTTTCTCACTGCCATATTCATTATTTTTTTGGTGATCACGTTCTCTACTTCTGTCATGACTCCGTCGTCTCCTGTCATTATAATCACTGTCACTGTCATGATCCGAATATCTGTCAGATCTGCCACGTCTGTCTCTGTCTCTGCTAGATAGTCTGTCTCTGTCTCTGCTAGATAGTCTGTCTCTGCTGGCTTCAGTGTTCTCTAATGCTGGGTTGTCAATGCCACTGACTGGGTCCACTCTGTCTCGGTTGAGACTAGCCTGGGATGATGTGCGTCCCTTGCGGCCAGCCTTGCTAACTGGCTCTGTTGAAGCAGTTCCCTCAAACTGAGTTCTGTGTCTGCGACTGGAGCGGCTGATTGTTTCCACTTTATCATCTAGGGATGGTTTACTCTGCCTGCAATTTCAATAGAATCAAGTCACACAAGTGACAGCAAAATAGAATACAGCCATGTCAGTGAAAGTTATGATAGAATTAAGTCATGTCTGTGAAAGTCATGATAGAATACAGTCATGTCTTGTGAAAGTCATGATAGAATTTAAGTCATGTCAGTGAAAGTTATGATAGAATTAAGTCATGTCAGTGAAAGTCATGACAGAATTAAGTCATGTCAGTGAAAGTCATGACAGAATTAAGTCATGTCTGTGAAAGTCATGATAGAATTTAAGTCATGTCAGTGAAAGTTATGTTAGAATTAAGTCATGTCAGTGAAAGTCATGACAGAATTAAGTCATGTCTGTGAAAGTCATGATAGAATTTAAGTCATGTCAGTGAAAGTTATGATAGAATTTCAATAGAATCAAGTCACACAAGTGACAGCAAAATAGAATACAGCCATGTCAGTGAAAGTTATGATAGAATTAAGTCATGTCTGTGAAAGTCATGATAGAATACAGTCATGTCTTGTGAAAGTCATGATAGAATTTAAGTCATGTCAGTGAAAGTTATGATAGAATTAAGTCATGTCAGTGAAAGTCATGACAGAATTAAGTCATGTCAGTGAAAGTCATGACAGAATTAAGTCATGTCTGTGAAAGTCATGATAGAATTTAAGTCATGTCAGTGAAAGTTATGTTAGAATTAAGTCATGTCAGTGAAAGTCATGACAGAATTAAGTCATGTCTGTGAAAGTCATGATAGAATTTAAGTCATGTCAGTGAAAGTTATGATAGAATTAAGTCATGTCAGTGAAAGTCATGACAGAATTAAGTCATGTCAGTGAAAGTCATGACAGAATTAAGTCATGTCTGTGAAAGTCATGATAGAATTTAAGTCATGTCAGTGAAAGTTATGATAGAATTAAGTCATGTCAGTGAAAGTCATGACAGAATTAAGTCATGTCAGTGAAAGTCATGACAGAATTAAGTCATGTCTGTGAAAGTCATGATAGAATTTAAGTCATGTCAGTGAAAGTTATGATAGAATTAAGTCATGTCAGTGAAAGTCATGACAGAATTAAGTCATGTCAGTGAAAGTCATGACAGAATTAAGTCATGTCTGTGAAAGTCATGATAGAATTTAAGTCATGTCAGTGAAAGTTATGTTAGAATTAAGTCATGTCAGTGAAAGTCATGACAGAATTAAGTCATGTCTGTAAAAGTCATGATAGAATTAAGTCTTGTCAGTGAAAGGTGAAAGTCATGACAGAATTAAGTCATGTCAATGAAAGTCATGACAGAATTAAGTCATGTCAGTGAAATTCATGACAGAATTAAGTCATGTCAATGAAAGTGATGACAGAAAAAAGTCATGTCAGTGAAAGTCATGTCAGTGAAAGTCATGTCAGTGAAAGTCATGTCAGTGAAAGTCATGTGAGTGTCATCATAAAGTCATGTGTTGGTAAAACAAGAAAAGGCCCACTGCTTCCCCCCACAAGTATGTTGAAGACTAAATAGAAGTTGGAGTGCATCTGAGCGGAAAGGAACAAGTAACTGAGCACAAGTAAAATCGTAAAACAGATTTATACACAAAACACAGACCCAAAGCTAAAGCCCTAATAGATGAATGCTTTCTGCCAGAGCTTACAGCCAAGCAACAAAGAAGAAGAACAAGACAATCAAATTAGAACAATACCCTGTAAGTGAAAATCAAAACACAATAATGTTGTGTCAATTAAAATCAAGATGTAGTCAAGATATGAAAGTGGAAATCATGACTGAATAAAGACATGAAAGTGAAAATCATAACTGAATAAAGTCATATAAGTTAAAATCATGAAGAAGTGAAGACAGCAGTGGAAATCAAGAACAGCGAGGCGGCCTGGAATCAATGGTGATGGGCGGTGCAGTTTCTGGACAACCAGGAAGAGGCCACAACTTGCACCAGGATGGACACAGGACACTGAATATACTTGGACTACAAAAGCATGTAGGGCTGGATGGAGAATTGGCTAGAAAAAGCATGTAGGGCTGGATGGAGAACTGGCTAGAAAAAGAGGTGTTCTGTGGCGAGAGCAACGTTCTGTGAAGGACCTGGTGATGATGAAGAAAGAGAGTTGATAACCACACATCATTAGGGAGTGAACTAAGGTGAGTTACACCTTCATCATTTCATATCTCTGTGACAACATCTACTTAGAGATGACCTGCAACTACTGCAGCCTGTTACCCACAACAATTTCACTTACATGAAACACTCAACACTAAAATAAAAAAAGCCCATATTATTTAGTCCTTAACCTGCAACAACCTGGTTAATGTTAATTTCTACAGGCTATTATCTAACAACTTTATATCTATCTATATCCTTTTCACATTGCTGTTGACAAGTAAGGCATTCACAGGTGATCTCCACTGCTGATTTTCTGCATATGGTATTCTCTGTCATCTTGCATTACTTATTTTCCTCTCTACTGTCCTCCGTTTCCTTAGGTCATCCATTTCTCCTTGTTCCATCTGCCGCCCACCGGAGAGATGTCCCTGCCAAAGTGTCACCAGACATTCTGCACATGTCAAGGCCATCTCAATCTTCTTTCCTTGTTAATGTTTACCAGTGATGAGCAAACTGTTACCTTCAACAGCCCATTACCTAATAGGTCTTTACCTCAACAGCCCATTACCTAACAGGTGTTTACCTCAACAGCCCAAGTTACCTTCCACAGCCCATTACCTAACAGGTGTTTACCTCAACAGCCCAAGTTACCTTCCACAGCCCATTACCTAATAGGTGTTTACCTCAACAGCCCGAGTTACATTCAACAGCCCATTACCTAATAGGTCTTTACCTCAACAGCCCATTACCTAATAGGTGTTTACCTCAACAGCCCAACTTATCTTTAAATGTGGACCTACAAGTCACCCGTGTCAAAGCTATGAGACAACAAAAGGCAGACTTTACCTGCCGCCTTTCTCCAATTCCAGTTTGTTAACAGAGTCAGACTGTGACTCTTGCCTCTTTCTAGTAGGGGCAGAAAATCTGGAGAATCTGCTAGGGAGAGAGTCCTCGGAGTTGTACTGCTGTCCCATGCCAAAGTTACCAGCTTGCGTCTGATACTTGCTGTCAACAACTCCAGGTTTGGAATTATTTTTCTGACAAATAAAAAAGTAATTATTTTTCAGCTGAAAACTGATTTCAACATCTAGAAATGTGAAATAAACAACTGTGCCAGATGTGTGTCCTTACCAACATACATATCTCATGTGTCCAGATTCAATCAACCAATAATTTCCCCATGTGAGTTCCGCTGCCAATGTTTTGGGTAATAAAAGATAGACCCACCACCCCCCTAACAAGCATGTCATAACAGGCAACTAATGAGAGGTTTTTCCTTCAAAGTTACAGTGCATCTGCCAGAGAGGCAAAAAACCAACAGTCTGCATACAAATAATCTAGACATGAGTTATGAGTTAGAATATCTTCACAGCACTCCAGACACATCCACAGACACTCAGATTCCCCTCTCAACATATTCATCAGCGCCGCGCAGTTAACAGTGCCAGTCCTTTGTTGGTTAACAAGACTTTGTGTGCGTCCGGTGTGCTTCTCATGCTTCGCTGTGCCAATCGTTACTCCTAATTCTTGTATTCTTAGCAGTGATGTGGACACGTTGCTGCCAAAATCCTCAGAATGTCTTATCTCTCTAAAGACAATGACAATGTCTGTGTGCTCCATGGGCCGGCCATCTTCAGTTAATGCAGCACCTGTCAGTCTATCAGCTCTTTCATTAACAACAACACCTGCATGCCCTGGGACGAATATGAAAATAACTGCACACACAGGAGAGTTTTGCATTGACTCAAATCCCTGTCAGCGTAACCAGCCTGCCTCGACCTGCCGGATCATGCTCAAAGAATCACTCAGCACACACACGCGGGAATAGTCCTGTGATCCCAGCCACATGAAAGCTTGTGTCACCGCCATCACCTCCATCGTCATGCTGCTGGTAGTCATGGAGAAGGCACTGCTGGCTTCTTGACCTCTTCTGCCTGACGAGCGAGCTGACGAGCTAGACATGTAAAATGAAGGTGCATGCAAAGCTCAAGTTCTGGAATAAGACCAAAGTCCAAACACAGCTGAACAACTAGAACTTTCCACCAGAGTTTACAGCCAGTCAATGTTACGGAGAAGTCAAAGAATGAACAATAAAATCTTGAGACTTGCTTCTGTGGGCCTGCCTGAAGTCTCCTCTTTGTTCTCTGTTCATCTGTTTCAGGTCTCTCACAGCTAGAGATATGTTCTCTGACCTGTATCTTTCACAAGTACAAACATAGCTCATGCACTGCCAGCTCAATAACAACATAAGCACAAGAAGCTCACATTCTGTGACTAGAAGTGAAACAGTCGTCAGGCTGCACAGCCAGATGATGTGCACATTCTGAGGTGAGAGCTGCCGTAGTGTAGCAGCCAGATGATGTGCACATTCTGAGGTGGGAGCTGCTGTAGTGTAGCAGCCAGATGATGTGCACATTCTGGGGTGGGAGCTGCTGTAGTGTAGCAGCCAGATGATGTGCACATTCTGAGGTGGGAGCTGCTGTAGTGTAGCAGCCAGATGATGTGCACATTCTGAGGTGGGAGCTGCTGTAGTGTAGCAGCCAGATGATGTGCACATTCTGAGGTGGGAGCTGCTGTAGTGTAGCAGCCAGATGATGTGCACATTCTGAGGTGGGAGCTGCTGTAGTGTAGCAGCCAGATGATGTGCACATTCTGAGGTGGGAGCTGCTGTAGTGTAGCAGCCAGATGATGTGCACATTCTGGGGTGGGAGCTGCTGTAGTGTAGCAGCCAGATGATGTGCACATTCTGAGGTGGGAGCTGCTGTAGTGTAGCAGCCAGATGATGTGCACATTCTGAGGTGGGAGCTGCTGTAGTGTAGCAGCCAGATGATGTGCACATTCTGAGGTGGGAGCTGCTGTAGTGTAGCAGCCAGATGATGTGCACATTCTGAGGTGGGAGCTGCTGTAGTGTAGCAGCCAGATGATGTGCACATTCTGAGGTGGGAGCTGCTGTAGTGTAGCAGCCAGATGATGTGCACATTCTGAGGTGGGAGCTGCTGTAGTGTAGCAGCCAGATGATGTGCACATTCTGAGGTGGGAGCTGCTGTAGTGTAGCAGCCAGATGATGTGCACATTCTGAGGTGGGAGCTGCTGTAGTGTAGCAGCCAGATGATGTGCACATTCTGAGGTGGGAGCTGCTGTAGTGTAGCAGCCAGATGATGTGCACATTCTGGGGTGGCAGCTGCTGTAGTGTAGCAGCAAGATGCTCGCCTGAGGATGTAAGTCGACCCAGCTTTAAATGGGTACCAGGTCAAGTCCTAGGAATTGTAGGCGGTTAGCATGATATTAACCACATCACTCACTGAGTGCCAACTGGTCTTTAGAATATAGGTCTAGCCTTATATGCCCATATAGGCCTTGGATCAGTGAACGTTTTGGATCAGTGAACGGTTTGGATCAGTGAACGGTTTGGATCAGTGAACAGTTTGGATCAGAGAATGGTTTGGATCAGTGAACAGTTTTGATCAGAGAATGGTTTGGATCAGTGAACAACGTGTGTCACACCACAGAGGTCTGTCACCTTCTTGTCTGAACACCACTGGCAGGGAGAATGAACAAAACAACTGTTGAAGCACAAACAATCTCACCCATCCATATTGTTGAAGCACAGACAGACAGATAATCTCACCCATCCATATTGTTGAAGCACAGACAGACAGATAATCTCACCCATCCATATTGTTGAAGCACAGACAGACAAATAATCTCACCCATCCATATTGTTGAAGCACAGACAGACAGACAATCTCACCCATCCATATTGTTGAAGCACAGACAGACAGACAATCTCACCCATCCATATTGTTGAAGCACAGACAGACAGACAATCTCACCCATCCATATTGTTGAAGCACAGACAGACAGACAATCTCACCCATCCATATTGTTGAAGCACAGACAGACAAATAATCTCACCCATCCATATTGTTGAAGCACAGACAGACAAACAATCTCACCCATCTATATTGTTGAAGCACAGACAGACAATCTCACCCATCCATATTGTTGAAGCACAGACAGACAGACAATCTCACCCATCCATATTGTTGAAGCACAGACAGACAGACAATCTCACCCATCTATATTGTTGAAGCACAGACAGACAGACAATCTCACCCATCCATATTGTTGAAGCACAGACAGACAATCTCACCCATCCATTTTGTTGAAGCACAGACAGACAGACAGACAATCTCACCCATCCATATTGTTGAAGCACAGACAGACAGACAATCTCACCCATCCATATTGTTGAAGCACAGACAGACAATCTCACCCATCCATATTGTTGAAGCACAGACAGACAATCTCACCCATCCATTTTGTTGAAGCAAAGACAGACAAATAATCTCACCCATCCATATTGTTGAAGCACAGACAGACAAATAATCTCACCCATCCATATTGTTGAAGCACAGACAGACAAATAATCTCACCCATCCATATTGTTGAAGCACAGACAGACAAATAATCTCACCCATCCATATTGTTGAAGCACAGACAGACAGACAATCTCACCCATCCATATTGTTGAAGCACAGACAGACAGACAATCTCACCCATCCATTTTGTTGAAGCACAGACAGACAAATAATCTCACCCATCCATATTGTTGAAGCACAGACAGACAGACAATCTCACCCATCCATATTGTTGAAGCACAGACAGACAAATAATCTCACCCATCCATATTGTTGAAGCACAGACAGACAGACAGACAATCTCACCCATCCATTTTGTTGAAGCACAGACAGACAGACAATCTCACCCATCCATTTTGTTGAAGCACAGACAAATAATCTCACCCATCCATATTGTTGAAGCACAGACAGACAGACAATCTCACCCATCCATATTGTTGAAGCACAGACAGACAGACAATCTCACCCATCCATATTGTTGAAGCACAGACAGACAGACAATCTCACCCATCCATATTGTTGAAGCACAGACAGACAGACAATCTCACCCATCCATATTGTTGAAGCACAGACAGACAGACAATCTCACCCATCCATTTTGTTGAAGCACAGACAGACAGACAATCTCACCCATCCATATTGTTGAAGCACAGACAGACAGACAGACAATCTCACCCATCCATATTGTTGAAGCACAGACAGACAGACAATCTCACCCATCTATATTGTTGAAGCACAGACAGACAGACAGACAATCTCACCCATCTATATTGTTGAAGCACAGACAGACAGACAGACAATCTCACCCATCCATTTTGTTGAAGCATAGACAGACAGACAATCTCACCCATCCATATTGTTGAAGCACAGACAGACAGACAATCTCACGCATCCATATTGTTGAAGCACAGACAGACAGACAATCTCACCCATCCATATTGTTGTGCCAGTCTCCGGTTAGTCATGAAAAACACGACCAGCTCTGCAGCAACACCAAGCAGCAGCACAATACCCATAATGATACTGCAGATCTCCGAGGCAGTCAGCAAGTTGCAGCCCGCCTCCTCTCTCTCGTCCGAGTAGTCTCCACAGTCATCCCAGCCATCGCAGGTGACATCGTCATGTACACAGTGTTGGACCTGTTCACATTTGAACTCCTGGATGTAGCATGGCCCTGGTAGAGAAGGGATCCCTGAATTAGTCTTCTCGGCCAATAGATTAGACAAAGACAGGTCAGATCAATAGATTGGACATAGACAGGTTAGATCAACAAACTGGACATAGACAGGTTAGATCAACAAACTGGACATTGACAGGTCAGATTAAAAGCCTGGACATACACAGATCAGATTTTTTAAAAACTAGCCATAAAGAGATTACATCAATAGACTGAACACACAAAGATCTGCTCAAAAACATCCCTAAACTAACTGCCTTAAGCAGGCTAAATGATTGAGCACAGTGTTCTGCCTAACAAGAGGTAGACTGCCCAACCAGGTAGACGAGCAAGTTTAAAGGTATCATCATCATGTGCCCTGCCAACTGACATATGCACTCATGCGTCTCCACAGATCACAATCCCTGGTTGCCTGGAACAGCTCTCTTGATGATATTCCTCAATGCCATCGTTTCAGCCCATCCAGCATCATCTCTCTTGGTTTGCCTGTACTCCTTATTCCACTGATCTTTCCAGTTGTCACGATGTTCTCCAATGTCTCTCTTCTCATTGTGTGTATACACACCCCAAATATGTAACCTTGTAACTCTAAATGATGAGGGTACGTTACTGATAGAACAAGTGAACATTAATGCAAAGTAATTCAGGTGATAGGGAGAAATGTTGACTGATATGGGAGGCAAAACAGCAAAACGTATGGGATGATGATGATGATAAATGAATAAAAGGGACTTGTTAAAAACAAGGAACTGATGAAAGAAAACAAAAAGCAAGCATTCAGCAAGAGACAAAACTTACAGCTGGGCCTAATCTGGTTAAAGTGAACCTTGAAGCCTTGGCCTCTGTAAGGTCCCTCACTGACCAGCCTGAATGTGAGAGGAGAGTTCTTCACCAGATGTTTCTCATACCTCATCTCTCGGTGCCGCTCTTCCCATTGCCAGCCTTCCATGCAAATTCTGGAACCTGGTGACAGACAGGATTCTACTGCAGTTTCCTCTATTATTTACTTGTGTACAAAAGACAGGGATAAATATATATATATACAATATAAATAGAGAAAGATAGACACACTGTCACAGAAAGGAAAAGTTTTTGCATAGAGGGGATAACGAAGCAATAAACAGAGGAGAGAAATTAAGACAGCAACATTGAGAAATACAGAAGATATGTAGAAGGAAAAGTGGGGGAAAAGAAGATGTAAGATACAAAAAATTATTTTTTTTTAAAGAGGAAGGGGAAGACAGAAAGGTGTGATGAAACAGAAGGGAAGACTTAAAAAAACACAGACACAGGGTAAAACAAATATGTGTCTGGAGCTAGTGGATGCATCCAGGAGATTAGCACCACATGGGACTTCTCCTAAACACCAGCTCCCAAAATGCAACAGTCATTGCTGGTCTGGTCAGTGATGACTGTCATCCCAGGGTAGGTTCCTGTGTCCCACTGGGGGGGGGGGGGGATAAACCCACAGCCTCTCTAACAAGTATGTTGTAAAAGGTGACTTATTAGGGCTGCCTCCTTCAAAGTTGGAGTACCTCTCTCTCTGAGAGCCAAGCAACCAACAGTCTACATACAAATAAGCCAGATCTGTACAACAGATTTGATTGTAAATCACAACTTCTGGAGTAAGACCAAACTCCACAAGTGGATGAACAGCCAGAACTTTTTGCCAGTTTTTACAGCCACTGAATGCTAAGAAGAAGAAGAAAATAGACATGCACAAGAATGAGCCACTCTGTCCTTGATTACTGCCAACAACAACAAAAACCAGATTACTGCACTCTGGCTACACTATGGTGCTCAGTCTCTCTCAAGAGAGGACAAACAACATTTACAGCAATTTGTCCTGTAGCAAAATGGTTGTGTCCAGACCTGCACAAGTCTCTGTCTATTATGTGTCTGCTGGGTTTGTTAAAGCTGGACCAACAACTCTGACAATAATCTGCTACTGTCAGGTGTACAGAGCTATTATCTGCAGATTGTATATGTTCAAATCTGTGACTAGGTCATTATGTTGAAGGTGATCGTAAATTGTAATCCAGTTGAAGAAATAAGTCTGCACTGATCCTTTACATGACTCTGGTGATCACCTAAGGGTGAAACATAACTGATGATCATGTGAAGGTCAAACATGATTGGTGATCACCTAAAGGTCAAACATGACTGGTGATCACCTAAGGGTAAAACATGACTGGTGATCACCTAAGGGTCAAACATGACTGATGATCACCTGAAGGTCAAACATGACTGATGATCACCTGTGTGTCAAACATGACTAGTGATCACCTGAGGGTCAAACATGACTGGTGATCACCTGAAGGTCAGACATGACTGGTGATCACCTGAAGGTCAGACATGACTGGTGATCACCTGAAGGTCAGGCATGACTAGTGATCACCTGAAGGTCAGACATGACTGGTGATCACCTGAAGGTCAGACATGACTGGTGATCACCTGAGGGTCAAACATGACTGGTGATCACCTGAAGGTCAAACATGACTGGTGATCACCTGAAGGTCAAACATGTCTAGTGATACCCTGAGGGTCAAACATAACTGATGATCACCTGAAGGTCAGACATGACTGGTGATCACCTAAGGGTCAGACATGACTGGTGATCACCTGAGGGTCAAACATGACTGGTGATCACCTGAAGGTCAGACATGACTGGTGATCACCTGAAGGTCAGACATGACTGGTGATCACCTGAGGGTCAGACATGACTGGTGATCACCTGAAGGTCAAACATAACTGATGATCACCTGAAGGTCAGACATGACTAGTGATCACCTGAGGGTCAGACATGACTGGTGATCACCTGAGGGTCAGACATGACTAGTGATCACCTGAGGGTAAAACATGACTGGTGATCACCTGAGGGTCAGACATAACTGATGATCACCTGAGGGTCAGACATGACTGGTGATCACCTGAGGGTCAGACATGACTAGTGATCACCTGAGGGTCAGACATGACTAGTGATCGCCTGAGGGTCAGACATGACTGGTGATCACCTGAGGGTCAGACATGACTAGTGATCACCTGAGGGTCAGACATGACTGGTGATCACCTAAGGGTCAGACATGACTAGTGATCACCTAAGGGTCAGACATGACTAGTGATCACCTGAGGGTCAGACATGACTAGTGATCACCTAAGGGTCAGACATGACTAGTGATCACCTGAGGGTTAGACATGACTGGTGATCACCTGAGGGTCAGACATGACTAGTGATCACCTGAGGGTCAGACATGACTGGTGATCACCTGAGGGTCAAACATGCCTGGTGATCACCTGAGGGTCAGACATGACTGGTGATCACCTGAGGGTCAGACATGACTGGTGATCACCTGAAGGTCAGACATGACTGGTGATCACCTGAAGGTCAAACATGACTGCTGATCACCTGAAGGTCAAACATAACTGATGATCACCTGAAGGTCAGACACGACTAGTGATCACCTGAGGGTCAAACATAACTGATGATCATCTGAAGGTCAGACATGACTAGTGATCACCTGAGGGTCAAACATGCCTGGTGATCACCTGAGGGTCAAAATGCCTGGTGATCACCTGAGGGTCAAACATGACTGGTGATCACCTGAAGGTCATACATGACTGGTGATCACCTGAAGGTCAGACATGACAGCCTGCATGTATCAGCAGAGACAAGATGATGATGCCTACTTCTTCTTCATCTTCCTCACATTCATATGCTGTATACTCTGGCCAAACATTCTGGTTGTTCATCCACATCTGGACTTTAGTCTTGTTCCAGCACCCAAGTTGTGCATGCACATCCATTTTACAGATCTGGTTTATCTGTATGCAGACTGTCAGTCCCTTGCCTCGGAAGCAGATGCACTCTGACTTCAAAAGAAGATCCTAGTTTCTTGACTCTCACTAGGGCAGCAGTGGGTCTATTCTTGTTTTCCAACAATAGGACTCCAGACACCCACCCCAGAGCGGATATCTACTCACTGTAGTATTTCCTGCCGGTCTGATCAAAGACCTCCAGACCGGTGGTGCATCCTCGAATGTCGTTACTCCGGGGCATGATGTCGAGGAAAAACAGCTCTATCATCAGGTACATGCCGCTGGTGAAGGTGACGAGTATGTCGCAGTTGACAGGGTGCGCTGGGTCTTGGTATCTGCTCATAGACTGCGGTAGCGGCATTCTCAAAATTCCTGAATGGGCGCTTTGAGCCGACATCAAATCAATGGTCTGACCACATTGACCCAAAAACGTATCTATAAGAAGCAAGTTTGATTAGTCAAAAAAACATTGCCAATTATAAAATCAACTTTCAGAGTCAAGTCAAGAAAAAACTAACAAGTATATAGTCAAATTTAAGAGTCACTAAATAACATATACACATTAATGAATTATTGTGAAACATAATTACTGAATAGTAGCTGCAGCTCCAGTAGTGGTACTAGCAGCAGCAGTAGCAGCATTGGTAGTGGTACTAGCAGCAGCAGTAGCAGCATTGGTAGTGGTACTAGCAGCAGCAGTAGCAGCATTGGTAGTGGTACTAGCAGCAGCAGTAGCAGCATTGGTAGTGGTACTCGCAGCAGCAGTAGTAGCATTGGTAGTGGTACTCGCAGCAGCAGTAGCAGCATTGGTAGTGGTACTAGCAGCAGCAGTAGCAGCATTGGTAGTGGTACTAGCAGCAGCAGTAGCAGCATTGGTAGTGGTACTAGCAGCAGCAGTAGCAGCATTGGTAGTGGTACTAGCAGCAGCAGTAGCAGCATTGGTAGTGGTACTAGCAGCAGCAGTAGCAGCATTGGTAGTGGTACTAGCAGCAGCAGTAGCAGCATTGGTAGTGGTACTAGCAGCAGTAGTAGCAGCATTGGTAGTGGTACTAGCAGCAGCAGTAGCAGCATTGGTAGTGGTACTAGCAGCAGCAGTAGCAGCATTGGTAGTGGTACTAGCAGCAGCAGTAGCAGCATTGGTAGTGGTACTAGAAGTAGTAGTTGTTGTTGTTTCAATAATAACAGAACTAGTAATAGCAGTTTAAGCATCAGTAATAGTAGCAGTAGTATGGTTGGTTAGTATCTAAAAACTGATACTAAAGACATATTGGAAATATTGATATCCCTCTAGTAGGTAGGAACCAGACATATTGGAAATATTGATATCCCTCTAGTAGGTAGGAACCAGACATATTGGAAATATTGATATCCCTCTAGTAGGTGGGAACCAGACATATTCGAAATATTGATATCCCTCTAGTAGGTGGGAACCAGACATATTGGAAATATTGATATCCCTCTAGTAGGTGGGAACCAGACATATTCGAAATATTGATATCCCTCTAGTAGGTGGGAACCAGACATATTGGAAATATTGATATCCCTCTAGTAGGTGGGAACCAGACATATTGGAAATATTGATATCCCTCTAGTAGGTGGGAACCAGACATATTGGAAATATTGATATCCCTCTAGTAGGTGGGAACCAGACATATTGGAAATATTGATATCCCTCTAGTAGGTGGGAACCAGACATATTGGAAATATTGATATCCCTCTAGTAGGTGGGAACCAGACATATTGGAAATATTGATATCCCTCTAGTAGGTGGGAACCAGACATATTGGAAATATTGATATCCCTCTAGTAGGTGGGAACCAGACATATTGGAAATATTGATATCCCTCTAGTAGGTGGGAACCAGACATATTGGAAATATTGATATCCCTCTAGTAGGTGGGAACCAGACATATTGGAAATATTGATATCCCTCTAGTAGGTGGGAACCAGACATATTGGAAATATTGATATCCCTCTAGTAGGTGGGAACCAGACATATTGGAAATATTGATATCCCTCTAGTAGGTGGGAACCAGACATATTGGAAATATTGATATCCCTCTAGAAGGTGGGAACCAGACATATTGGAAATATTGATATCCCTCTAGAAGGTGGGAACCAGACATATTGGAAATATTGATATCCCTCTAGTAGGTGGGAACCAGACATATTGGAAATATTGATATCCCTCTAGTAGGTGGGAACCAGACATATTGGAAATATTGATATCCCTCTAGTAGGTGGGAACCAGACATATTGGAAATATTGATATCCCTCTAGTAGGTGGGAACCAGACATATTGGAAATATTGATATCCCTCTAGTAGGTGGGAACCAGACATATTGGAAATATTGATATCCCTCTAGTAGGTGGGAACCAGACATATTGGAAATATTGATATCCCTCTAGTAGGTGGGAACCAGACATATTGGAAATATTGATATCCCTCTAGTAGGTGGGAACCAGACATATTGGAAATATTGATATCCCTCTAGTAGGTGGGAACCAGACATATTGGAAATATTGATATCCCTCTAGTAGGTGGGAACCAGACATATTGGAAATATTGATATCCCTCTAGTAGGTGGGAACCAGACATATTGGAAATATTGATATCCCTCTAGTAGGTGGGAACCAGACATATTGGAAATATTGATATCCCTCTAGTAGGTGGGAACCAGACATATTGGAAATATTGATATCCCTCTAGTAGGTGGGAACCAGACATATTGGAAATATTGATATCCCTCTAGTAGGTGGGATATTGGAAATATTGATATCCTCTAGTAGGTGGGAACCAGACATATTGGAAATATTGATATCCCTCTAGTAGGTGGGAACCAGACATATTGGAAATATTGATATCCCTCTAGTAGGTGGGAACCAGACATATTGGAAATATTGATATCCCTCTAGAAGGTGGGAACCAGACATATTGGAAATATTGATATCCCTCTAGAAGGTGGGAACCAGACATATTGGAAATATTGATATCCCTCTAGTAGGTGGGAACCAGACATATTGGAAATATTGATATCCCTCTAGTAGGTGGGAACCAGACATATTGGAAATATTGATATCCCTCTAGTAGGTGGGAACCAGACATATTGGAAATATTGATATCCCTCTAGTAGGTGGGAACCAGACATATTGGAAATATTGATATCCCTCTAGTAGGTGGGAACCAGACATATTGGAAATATTGATATCCCTCTAGTAGGTGGGAACCAGACATATTGGAAATATTGATATCCCTCTAGTAGGTGGGAACCAGACATATTGGAAATATTGATATCCCTCTAGTAGGTGGGAACCAGACATATTGGAAATATTGATATCCCTCTAGAAGGTGGGAACCAGACATATTGGAAATATTGATATCCCTCTAGTAGGTGGGAACCAGACATATTGGAAATATTGATATCCCTCTAGTAGGTGGGAACCAGACATATTGGAAATATTGATATCCCTCTAGTAGGTGGGAACCAGACATATTGGAAATATTGATATCCCTCTAGTAGGTGGGAACCAGACATATTGGAAATATTGATATCCCTCTAGTAGGTGGGAACCAGACATATTGGAAATATTGATATCCCTCTAGTAGGTGGGAACCAGACATATTGGAAATATTGATATCCCTCTAGTAGGTGGGAACCAGACATATTGGAAATATTGATATCCCTCTAGTAGGTGGGAACCAGACATATTGGAAATATTGATATCCCTCTAGTAGGTGGGAACCAGACATATTGGAAATATTGATATCCCTCTAGTAGGTGGGAACCAGACATATTGGAAATATTGATATCCCTCTAGTAGGTGGGAACCAGACATATTGGAAATATTGATATCCCTCTAGTAGGTGGGAACCAGACATATTGGAAATATTGATATCCCTCTAGTAGGTGGGAACCAGACATATTGGAAATATTGATATCCCTCTAGTAGGTGGGAACCAGACATATTGGAAATATTGATATCCCTCTAGTAGGTGGGAACCAGACATATTGGAAATATTGATATCCCTCTAGTAGGTGGGAACCAGACATATTGGAAATATTGATATCCCTCTAGTAGGTGGGAACCCAATTCATTTTATTTACACACGTCTTCTACTATAATAATTGATTTATTTATGTCCTCTTAAAAAGTCATCTCTCTCTCTCTCTCTATCTTTATCTCTGTGTATGTCTATGTATGTGGGTATGTGTGTGTCTAGCATCATTGAACTGATTCGAACTGACTCCTTACAGTGGAACTGAGTATTCCATAAGAAACTGACAAAACTGGAGCTGGCTTTGAGTTCAGCACACAGTTCTGGTCTACAGAGTCTACTCCCGCCAGCCCTTCAAATCAACCAACTGTCTGTACCCCGGGTACCACCAGTCTGTGGCCCTGTGTGAAAGGGAACAATCTCAGGGCTACAATAATAGAGCGCCCTCCCCCAGCCCCTTGTTTCTCTACACATACCACGTCTCACCCCCACCTTCCCGCCCTATTTCCAACACTACATACATATGTCTGTCTTTAAAAGAAATTTCATCCACACACACACATAGACACCGGGAGCCCGGCCTTACTGTTTGTTGCTGGAGGTGTTTGCCAGTGAACCTGGGCTACCGCCGCGTGACTTGACCTAGTTGTCAACAATAACATTTTCCCCTCTTGGCGGCGTTGTCCTTTGCCTGGCCTTTATCCTCAAATACAATAGTTTATTGCCGAAACATCTCAGCGCATGCATCTGTGCTTATAGCAATCAGTGCTCAGTTCCTAGGTTCTGTAAGTAAGCCAGTTGTAGCGGGCCGATAACAAAGTCTTGAGTCAGTTTTTTACTTTGCCCACGCCCACACTGCGGCCCGACACTGCCACAGAGACAAAGTGACAGCTTCGGCTTTCATGTTTTGAAAGTTGTCAAAAAGTTAATCAAGTATAGTATTGCCTACACCCGGGATCTGTCTCTACAGATTGTAAAGTGAAACAATATGTGTACTAGAAGTCATCAGTATGTCTGTCTAGACATGAAATACCGGCAGTGCTCAACTTTCATATGCAATGTCAATAGCCTTTAACTTTACGAAAAACTTTTTTGTCTTTTTTTTCTTTTTCTCTTCGTTCTGGTGTTAACAATGAGACAATCTGCTTTACATGACAAAAAAGGAACAAAAACGGTGGTTATTACTGTGTGCAAACTTGTCACTTACCCACAGCCACAACTGGCAGACATGAAGACATCAACAGAAATAAAGCCCCAGAGATGGACCTGCCGCTGCTGCCTGCTCCAGCCATCTTGTGATTGTGATTGTCGTCTGCTAGCCACCTCAGTCAGTCCCTCACACTTGGCCCGCGGTCGGGGCCTGTCTGTCTACAGTTCTACAGCAGACGCGGGCACACCTGCATTCTTTCGGGCCCTGTCTCAATGTCGCCGCTACACG